GAGTGATGGTTAATTTGCATATTACTCTTTTATTAGGTAAGAGAGAAAAGTGGAAGGAAAAAGAGTAGGGAAAGTGGAGGATTGGGGGGTTTGGAGCAGAACTGGAGGGAGAAAATCAGAAAGAAGAGTGAGAAAGGTAGAATCACAAGAGAAAACTATTCTTAGACCAGAACAAAGAAAAGACAAAAAACAGACAAGGAGCAATCAGAGATGAGAGAACCAAGAAACTTTTCAAAAAAGTCAAGAAGATAAAAAGGTTTAAAAATGTTTAACCACTTTAAAAAAGAGAGAAAAGGAAAAAAAGAATAGCAGCACATGAATGACACAATGTTTGAAAATAAGAAACTCAATAATTTTCCAAATTATAAAAACTTAAGGGGTAAAAAGTGAGATAGCCACAAAACAGGTTTTCAGTTAAAGAGACCAAAAAGAGACAGGTTGATGGCTTGAGAAGGTAATGCAATCAAGAGCATAATTGGTTTTTTTTAGGAAAAATGAACTAGGATTTATATTCCACTGAAAATGAGAATTGAATATTTCATTTTGAAAAGGTGGTAATTAATAAAATTGCATCCCAGAGAAAGCAAAGGGAATTAGACTTTCAAAGAAGATTGCTTCTTCACAAGAGATAAATGGACCCTCTGAAGTAGAAGGTATGGATTATCCCTCCACCTTCCATCTCAGGAAAATGAAGTGGGTTTGTCAACCTCTTGGCTGCTGCTTCCCAACTGTAGTAGATGGTGCTGCTTTTCCCAATCATTTGCTCCCACCGCCCTTATCAAGAGAGGATTTTAGATCTTTACTCTTTGGCATAAGCTTCAGAGAATCCCGCCTCTATGCAGAGTAGACCACGCTATCTCTTTGACAAAGTGAAGCTCTGTTGCAGTATATTGACTATATTCCCTATGCTGTACTTGTATATTCCTGTAATTACCAGTTTGCATTTCTTGATCCCTTCACCTTTTCCACCTACCCTACTCCCCCCCCCACCCCGCATTCTCCCTTCCATCTGGCAACAATCCTTTTGTTCTCTGTATTTATGAGTCCCTTACTGATTTGTTTGTTTCTTTTGTTTTTTTAGATTCCACAAGTAAGTGACATCATATGGTATTTGTCTTTCTGACTTATTTCACTCAGCATCATATCCTCTAGGCCACCCATGGGGATCACTTTGTAAATTATATAATTGTCTAACTGGTATGCTGTATCCGTGAAACCTTATATTGAAATTTAACTGTAATTTAAAATTTTTTTAACTTTTTTTAAAATGGCACTGTGACTTGTTTTGACCTTCAAATGTGAGCTGAAGTCACTACCAGTATAGGCAACTCTGAGGCAGGCATTCCATCAGTCCTACTCTCTTGCTGGTTCCCTTTACACTACAAGAGCTGCATGTCCTAAATCGAGACTGTTCTTCAACCTGGATCCTGGAATGAGAAACACACATACAACAAAACTGCAGAAACAGGCTGCCCTTGGATGCCAACACATGATATGAGAGAAGTAAATGTTTGCTTTTGTTAGTCACAGATTTTTTTGATGTTACAGTAATAAAGCCAATTAGCACAGAGCCCATTACTCTCCCAGTATTCTTCTAAAAAACATTTCCCACTTCAGTGAAGCCTGTGACATTTAGCCATGCCTATTCCCCTTCTTCTGCTATCAATCAATACTGCAGGTAGCTGGTAATTGTAATTTTCTATTCTTATAGTCAACTCCAAAAATTATATAAGCTTTAGGCCTCTCCACACCTAGATCTGCCTCTAATGGGAACAAAAAGGAGCTATTCAGTTTAACTTAACCTTTTCACAAAGGAAGGAAATAAAGACCTGAGAGGTTAATGAAATTCCTCCAAGGCCATACTATTCATAGGTGGCAAGGTCAATTCTGAGGCTAATGCCTTTTCATTTCCATTTCAGAGAAAAATATATCATTTTCACCCAAAATATAAAGTTGTTATGTAAGGTATATTTGTACTAGCTTTTTGGAAATAAATGTAAAACCTTAATATTTTAAAATAGACCTTATTTTCTAGAGTCCTTCCTTATTTTTTAAATAACAAATTCTTACCAGTAGACTATGAATAATTTTTTAGAAATAAATCTTATAAAACATGCTTGATATGACCTTAGTACTAACTGTACCTCTTTTTTTGTTGTTATTAATCCTCACTCAAGGATATTTTTTTCCCATTTATTTTTAAAGAGTGGAAGGGAGTGGGGGAGAGAGAGAGAGAGAGAAACACCGATGTGAGAAAGACGCATGGATTAGTTGACTCCCACACACACACACCCCAACCAGGGCCTGAGACCAAGCCTACAACCAAGGTACATGCCCTTGATCAGAATCAAACCTCCAACTATGCAGTCTGAAGGCCAATGCTCTAACCACTGAGCAAACAGCCAAGGCCCTCTCTTTTTTTCATTTAAAAAAAGTGGATGTTAATTTCTTCCTGATTATATCTTAGAGTTATTTTTCATATTAAATGAAAAATAAATATAATATGACTTATCAACTAACATATTTTAAATTTTTTAAAGTACTGGATTTAGTTGACAGAAAATTTGTGTGAAACTACACATTTTAGAGTACAAAATAAAGTTGTGACCGAAATAGTATATTTGGCATAATAAGATGAAGCCAGGAGTATTCCCCAAGAGAGATCTTGAAAGAGAACTGAAATTCTTTGGTTACCTATTTAGAGTTATCTATCAAACAAAATTCTTATTAAAAGTCAATTGCATACTTATTTTCATTCACCAGCTGGAGTCAAATACATAATTTAGAAGAAGTAGATTCATATGCTTTCCATAGGTCCAAAGAAGCAGAGTTATAAAGTTGCACAGCAGGGCAGCTGACTGCAAATATGTTGCTGCATGACTGAGTTTAATTTTGTTAAACATAATTATTCATGAAAATATTTTTACATCTATCACATAAGTCTCTGAACTAACAGTAGTGTGACGTCTCTGTCACCTTGAACTTCCTGTGACTAGAGACATTAGTTTATTTAAGTCTACACTAGACAGTATTCATTCAGGATCTTTTAAAGCCATGAATTAATTAAAGATTAACTTGGGTGACTGTTTCCTAACAGATCTGTGCTTCCGTTGGCTTATGTTGCTCTAAATCCCTTTTTGGTCACAAGTCACTCTGAAATTATCTTTCAGTTTTGCCAATGTTCATCCCAAGTCCTTCAGACTCAATGATCCATGTAGATTGTACCTGAATTTAAAACACTTGGCTGAAAAATATGTTGGCATCCCCAGAAAGAAGAGATACTCCCCTTTTGGCAACCTGAATTATTCTCAGAGAAGAGAGTGGTTTATTGAACTTTTCATGAGACCTTAGAAATAGAGTCGCCTTCACTGTTAGGGCATGTAATTATTAAGTAATTAATTGGGGCCTAAGTTTAACAAACTAGTCAAACAATTTATTACACTTGATTATGTCATCAGAAATTTTTTAAAGCAACAAAGCCAATGAAATTAGGTACAGTAATTTAAAATTAAAATCAACTCTCAAAATATGGCTTCTTATTCTACACTACCTATGACTCTGAAAAGACATTTAACACACCAAACATTTAAATATTCTGTGACTCTGACAACTGGCACTATTTCTGACACTCAATCAGCATTAAATAGATGCCCAATGAGTGAATGAATGAATAATGGATAGCTAAACTCCAAAAGACAAGGATGATAATAGAACTCTCTTCATCTTGTTATATGAAAGTTTTTTAAATAGTAGCAACTATTATTATATAATAATAAGTAAAAAGTAGAGATTATACAATCATCTAGAATAGGGAAACCCTCAAATCCCAGGTTTATCAAAAATTTAAAACTCTGATTTTCCCATAGATATCTACTTCAAAGTAAAAATATATCCATATAACGTCCCCATAATTGAAAACTTTACATCATCCCTTTTTTGTTTAATTACATTTCTCAAGTTAATTATGGCAATCTGCAAGTGACTTCTAAAACATAATCTCATACCACTGTTTTAGTTCTGCATTGGCAAAAGAAAGCCTCTTTTAAAAAAATGTCCATTTAAGCATCTCTTAAATAAGCTAAATATCTTGAAACAATCACAGACACAGAAAATTCAAATATAGTTAAGATTAAGAAACTGCACGAATCTACTGACTCTCCTCCCTTTTCTAACACTAGGTTTTTCTTTCTTGCTAATTCCAAAATTTAGGTCAAAATCTCCATCCAAGCACTCATTTTTATTATCCTTCAGAAACATTTACTCAACTATGCCAGCATTAGATAAATGGGAGACATAATGGATGATCAGATATGTAGAAATATATCAGAATAAAATAATAATACAATTTCATTGTTCCAACTGAAAAAAAAAGAATAGAAACATGAAACCCCAAAGATATAGAACAGTAGTCCAAAATTCAAGCAATATATATGACATACACTGTACATAACTGGCCATGGTACCCTGTGCATGGTGCTTAACAACACTGATTTAATAACGACTTCTAGTTTTAATTCTAGGCTTTAGCCCCACAAATTATCTCTATATTGTGTTTGAGTTCAATTTAAAAATAATTTGACATTTTAATTTCCCATATAATTTAGATAAAATAGAAAATATGGTTATAGTAACATATAATAAAAGAGGGCCATTAAAATTATTTGAAATAAAACATCTTGAGCTTTTTCTTTAAAATAAAGCTCCAGGTTGCTTTACTGAGACAAAAGGACATTATGATTCATTGTATAATATATGTTTCCTCAGGAAACACCCAATATTGAATGGGTCAAAGCTCATCAGAAATGAAATTTAAAAAAAAAAAAAAAAAAACACTACGGAAGAAGATTGCCAAATTGGCAACAACACTTTTCTATCTTTGTTTAAAGAACATCAGCCTAGAAGTTTGTATCTTCCAACTAGCCTTTCCTTATTATCACTAGAAATCCACTGCAACATATATAAGAGCTGAGATTTCTTGTTCTTTCTCACCTTCACTTGTCATCTTCGGAAGGTACCTGGCTGGAGACATTCTGATCAGCAGCCTACTCAGCCCTGGAAAGTATCCTCACACAAAGATAGGTACATGGAAATATAAACTGAAGAACTTTTACTTTGAATACTAATTCTCTGAGACTCTTTTTTTAAATTTTTATTGAATTTATTGGGGTGACATGGGTTAACATAATTATATAGGTTTCAGGTGTACAGTTCTATAATACATCATCTGCATATTGTATTGTATGTTCACCACCCAAAGTCAAGTTTCCTTCTGTCACCATTTATCCCCCATTTACCTTCTTCTTCCTTGCTCCACTCCCCTTTCCCTCTGGTAATCACCATACTGCTGTCTGTGTCTATAAGTTGCTGTGTTGGGAGTTTTTTGTTATTGTTGACTTTTGCTTAGCTCCTTCACTTTCTTAAGCCAGTCCCACATCGCCTCTCTCCTCTAACACCTGTCAGTCTGTTCTCTGTTCTCTGTGTCTATGAGTCTATAACTATTTTGTTTCTTATTTTGTTCGTTAGATTACACTCAACATGAAATCATATGGTATTTTTCTTTCTCTGACTGGCTTATTTCACTTAACACAATACTCTCTAGTTCCATTCATGCTGTTGCAAAAAGTATGATTCCCTTCTTTTTTACAGCTGAGTAGTATTCCATTGTGCAAATGTACCACAGCTTTCTGATACATGGTGACAGAAGGAAACTTGACTTTGGGTGGTGAACATACAATATGCTGATGATGTATTATAGAACTGTACACCTGATACATTCATCTACTGAGGGCACTTTGGTTCATTCCAAATCTTGGCAATGAGAATAGGGGTACTAGTTTCTGGTTTCTTCAGATATTGCCCCAGAAGTGGACCTGTTGGGTCATCGGCAGTTAGTTCCATTTTTTATTTTTTGAGGAAATTCAAAACTATTTTCCACAGTGGCTGCACCAATCTGCATTTCCACCATCAGTCCTGGCCACATCCTAGCTAATACAAATTATTTGTTGATTTATTGATATAGCTATTCTGAAAGGTGTGAGGTGAGATATTGTGGTTTTAATTTACATTTCTCTGATAATTAGTGACACTGAGCACCTTTTCATGTCTATTGGCCATCTCTGTGTCCTCTTTGGAGAAGGGCCTCTGCCCATTTTTTTAATTGGATTGTACTCTTGATGTTTAGTTGTATAGGTTCTTTATAAATTTGGGATATTAACTCATCAAATGTATCATTGATGAATATGTTCTCACATTCAGTGGAGTGTTTTTTCATTTTGTTGATGGTTTCCTTTGCTATGCAAAATTTTTTTGTTAGATGTAGTCCCCTTTGCTTATTTTTTCTTTTGTTTCCTGAGGAGATACATCAGAAAAATATTGCTATGAAAAATGTTAAAGATCTTACTGCCTATGTTTTCTTCTATGATTTTTATGGTTTTGAGTCTTATTTTAAATCTTTAATCTATCTTTAGTTTAGTCTTGTGTATGGTGTAAGAAAGTGGTCCAATACATTTTTGCACATATCTGTCCAATTTTTCCAACAAATTTATTGAATAGACTATGTTTATCCCATTGTATGTTCTTGCCTTCTTTGTCAAATATTAATTGACCATAAAGGCATCAGTTTATTTCTGGACTCTCTATTCTATTCCATTGATTTATATGTTTTTATGCCAGTACCATGCTGCTTTGTTGTGAGACTTCTTAAGATATTATTTTCATAGGCATTTAAAGAACATTCATTTTCACTAAAATAATAACATGTGCCTTACATGAAATATAGTCAGCCATAAAACCCATTAAATTTTGTGAAATTCTATATGTTAGAGAAAAGTATTCATATTGGACACTTGGGATAATTAATCCATCCAATACACAATCAATCAATTTTTCTCCTGATGGACCTTAACATTTTTTGAGCTTCATAATGACCAGATCACTATCAAATGTATTATAAGAGAATTGAATTGTTCTACACTCTACAGCATATTTTTATTATTATTTTTGTCTTAGTTTTTAAAACTTTTTACAAGAACATGACATAGGAAAAATGATACTTAAAGAAAAAAGCATATGCATATATAATCAGTGAAATTTGTCCCTAAGATTCATTGAAGCCTTGGTTGTTCAGGAAACACACATACCTGATGGGTAGAATTGACTATTAGAAAGCTAGTTTGCACAAAGGTGCATGCACTGCTTTCCCAGAACTTGGGCCATCATGTAGTTGAAATATATTGTAGCCCAGACTGGTGTTCTCAATGGTTAGAGCACTGACCTGCAGATCATAGGGTCACAGGTTGAATTCCCCATCAAGGGCATATACCTAGGTTGCAGGTTCAATCCCCAGCCTGGTCAGGTCATGTGCAGGAGGCAACCAATTGATGTGTCTCTCCCACACTGATGTTTCTCTCTCTCTCTCTCTCTCTCTCTCTCTCTCTCTCTCTCTCTCTCTCTTTCCCCTTCCACTCTCTTTAAAAATCAATGGAAAAATATCCTTGAGTGAGGTTAACCAAAAAAATGGCAGGGGGGTGGGGATATACTGTAAAATTGAAGCCAATTGAGAGTACAAGACCTAAGCATCTCTCTTCTCTACCCTGGTCTTTGATGTATATTATATGGATTTTTTGAAATAGTTTTAGACCACTTATAATGGAATAAAATAACTTAGTAGAATGTTGTTAAAACTAGGACATATATTATGTGACAATTTTTCTTTAAACTACAGTTGACCCTTTAACAATGCAGAGGTTAAGGGTACTGACCCCCCACAGTCAAAAATCTGAGTATAACTTTTGACTTACAAGGTGTCCTTCAGTATCCATAAGGGAAATTGGTTTCAGGAACTCCACGGATACCAAAATCTGTGGGTGATAAAATCCCTTATATCTAATAATGTAGAACAATGCATAAAATTGGCCCTCTGCACCCACAGATTCCAAAGGAGAGGATCAAAAATAGTTTTCAATCTGCAGTTGGTTGACTCTGCAGAATCAAAACCTGGGGATATGGAGGGTCTACTGTGTAATTACTGGGGGAAAAAATGGTATCAAAATGGACACATAATTCAAACCTGTTTTGTTCAAGGGTCAACTGTCCTTTGAAATGGATACATTTGGATTTGAGCATCTTGATATTTTGCAATAGTGATTACATTGATTTATAGATTTCTGCAAATTTGTATTTGATATATTAATATTATAACTAAATCATATGTCTTAAATTTTATTTTGGGTACATCTCAACAATAAGAAAAAGGAAAGAATCAGCTTAGTAGATACAGTAATTACTTCTGTAAGTAAAACACCAACTCATAAAAATTCTATCACATAAAACATATTATGAACAACTCTTTGACATTATTCATTATTTCCAGTGTCAGTTTCCAAGTTAAAAGTGAAAATTAGTTTCATGATTTCATAGTTACATGTCGTAAGCCTAACAGTATTACTCCATAGTAATATTGAGTCCAAAATAAAATTAGACGAGTTTCTTAAAATGGTACAGTACTATTCCTGCACTAATTAATACCAGTGGTCAGAACACTTTTTTAAAAAAATATATATATTAACCAGCCATTGTGCTTATTTTCAGGAGTAACCGTAAAGATGAAACCACTGTGTTTCATCTTGGGCCTTTTGGCCCTTGAAGCCTGTTTCTCGGTAAGTCTCATTAATTATATCATCTTTTTCTCATGACTAGTCACATTTTTCACATTAATATTAGTAGATATCAATCATTGATGAAATGCTGTTCTACTGCTGTAATTTGAATTTAAATTATAAATCTAGCCCTAGATCTTCCTTCCTCTCTGAAATAAATAAAAATATATTAAAAAACAAATTATAAATCTAATTTAAATTGCCACATATGGCTCATGGCTGCTACCATGTTTGACTATTTAAATCTATAATATCAGACTGCATTAAACAAACATGTATAAATGTGGGTACTCATACATTACCAATGTCATAAGTTGGTAAACAAATTTATTGTAAATTTTTGATCCAATATACTTAATGACACTTTTTTAATATATTTGAACATGTTCTTTAATTTTTTAAAATATTTTTATTGATTTCAAAGAGGAAGAGGGAGAGAGAGAGAGAGAGAGAGAGAGAGACAGAGAAACATCAATGATGAAAGAGAATCATTGATTGGTTGCCTCCTGCACACCCCCTACTGGGAATCAAGCCTGCAACCTAGGCATGTACCTTTGGCTGGACTCAAACCTGGGACCCTTTGGTTCACAGGCTGACGCTCTATCCACTGAGACAAACCAGCTAGGGCATGTTCTTTCATTTTATTAGGACTGTTTCTTCATCTATATATGGGATAGTTAAAATAGAACAGTTTTTTATCAACATAGGATTCAGGGATCATCTATATCTAAAGAACCTGATTCACTTATTTAAAATATAGTAAGCCTCTCTAGCCGATTTGGCTCAGAGGATAGAGCATTGACCAGTGGACTAAAGGCCCCGGTTCAATTCTGGTCATGGGCACATATTTGGGTTGCAGGCTCAATGCCCAGCCCTGGTCGGGGCGTGTGACAGGCAACCAATCCATGTGTTTCTCTCACATGATGTTTCTCCCTGTCTCTCTTCCTCCCTTCCACTTCCACTCTCTCTCTAAAAATCAATGAAAATATCCTCAAGTGAGGATTAACCATAGATAGATAGATGATAGATGATAGATAGATAGATAGATAGATAGATAGATAGATAGATAGATAGATGATAGATAGATAGATGATAGATAGATAGATAGATAGATAGATAGATAGATAGATAGATAGATAGATGATAGACAGATGATAGATAGATAGATAGATAGATAGATGATAGATAGATAGATAGATAGATAGATAGATAGATAGATAGATAGATGATAGATTTTTTTTAAACCAAACCTCATCCCAGAACGAATAAGTGTCTGAGAGTAGGACCTGGTAATATGCATTTTACCAAGGACTCAGGCAACTATTGATAAACTATAAACATTTTTATCAATCAACACCTATCGGGTATAAAGGACTAGGTTAAGTACCACGGATGCTTCTAAATATTCAAAGTTTCAAGGGATTTTTTTTAAAAAGCCACAAGTTTTTGTGTTTTAAGTAGTGAAGTAATAATTGATTTCAAAGTAGCAATAGATTAATTCCAGTTTCAGAAAAAGGAAATTAATTCCAGAGTAACTTCTACCAAAGAACTGCAAAATATATTATATCAAGTGAAAAAGATAAAAACCTTTTTCAGAAGAGACTTAGGACTTAGACAAAACAGGCAATATAAAATTATATCATTCTGAAACATAAAATCATTCTTCTTCTATCTACTCTCCAAAACTTGAATAAAAGGAGGCCATTCCCTAGGTCTCTCAAGCAGCCGGGCATTGGCCATATTACTAAGTGCATTAGAGATGTGATATGATTTCTGATACACCAATAAAACATATTGACATGATTCAAAGATTATATCATATCTTACTTATCTGATCTTAAAGCTGATATTCAGCATTTTTATGTCCAGACTATAAAAGAAAAACACTTCCTTATTTTAAAGAATCTGGTATTGATTATTTAAACAATGATTTTTTGTGTGTGAGAATTCCAATAATATAAGCAGCTTAACATAAGCAGTTTAAATAGAAATAAGCCTTTTCCTAACTTGATTATATGAGATTCGTAATGATTAATTGTTAATAATATGGGCAGGTAAGTAGTACTATTGATCCAGTCATCTTTTCAGTGTTTATTCTGTTATGGGTAATTTTCTGACTGCTTTCCAGCAATATCTCAATTACCTCAAAGAAAGCCTGAAGCGGACTACTATTAATCCCACTTAGATACAAATAAATTTAGATTCTAAGTATCCATATCTTGGCTGGATTATTCCTAAACCAAGTAATACAGGAGATTAGCTCGAATTAAAGCCCGCTGAGAAGATAATTTTTATTTCTAACATAGTATTTTCATTATTTTTACCAAGTTGATCACCACTGTCCAGTTGCAGAAAGGAAGTTAATCACGTTGGTTGGGTTAAGAGATTAGGAAAAATAACAAATGTTTACTAGGAAGATTTTTCCAATAGATATAATTTTTAGATTAATATCAGGCTGTCCTTAGGAGACAACTTTTAGTGAAATCATTGTCTCAATAATGAAAAAAATGTGAAATATTTTCCTACACTATGGATTTATGTTGCCAATTAAAAATCAGGTCCTAAAAAAATGGAAAAATCAAGTCCTTAACTTTTCAAACACCTTGGCCTAGCCTTTGGATTGTCAGCCATTGGGTCAAATGCTCTCCATAATTCAATAAGCTATCACTAGCTAGAGAGGGCCAACTTGAGGACTAGTTCCACAGCTGTGCCTTGGCATTTTTTGTTTCATTGTGACACCAAAAAAAGTGTTTTACTGGCATACTGGGAGCAGAAGCCAGGTGATTAGTGACTAGCATAGGAGCAGTGGGGTTAATCCCAGCAAACCTAGAATACACCTTCAAGGAGCTTTGCTGAAAGGAAAGAGGTGAAGAGAGAGTGATAACAAGGAAATGCATGGTTGAAAGCGGACTTGTTTAAAGGTATAATGTAGGTGATAGTTATTATTCTGAGGAAAACAAGCTAGTTAAAAGGCACATAGTGAAGTTCAAGAATAAAAAGGAAAAACTGACAGAGCCCTGAGAAAATACCTGCAAAGAAAAGCGAAATAGCCAGATAGCTATGACTTGACAGTATGTGGCCAGTAAAGCAGTAAAGTTCATTTCGAATTGCCTGCATTACTTTGGAAAAATAGGAGGAAAATCATCTGGATGGGGTGGATGAGGCCTAAAGAAGAGGTAGAGAGCTTTAATGAAATTGCCATCGACTTGGGAAATTATAGGTTTCTGGGGAATGTGATAGCAAAATTTGAAGGCACTTGAGAGAATTGCAGGGCAGTGCTGAAGGACCAGGGGTTTGTTATGCTCAGGGCTTTTGACATCTGCCACCACTGGTTAAAGACTGCAAGTAGGAATCAAGAAAAGGGATGATTTAGGGCCTAAATTTTAGGCGGATCTTACAGTTTGGACGTGGCAATGTCAGAAAACAGGTGAAGGACCTGAGGACAACAAGAAGGGAATGCAGTTGTATGTCCTATGAACCCAAAGGAGATGAGGACTTGTGCTTTCCTACCCTGGAGCATTTACGTACTTCCCCTCCATTTGACATGCCCTCTCCCCCGTTTATATTATTTAAACCTGCCTTCAAAGGCTGCCTTCTCTGTGAAACTATCTTTCCTCTCCCCAAAACTAATAACTCTAAATCTCCAATGTATTTGTTTCCTGCACTATTTTTCAATTATTTTTATTTCCAAAAATTGCAACCACTCTCCTGGATGTTAACATAACAAATAGCAGCACTTAAGGTTTATTGAGCACTGTACCTAAGCCAAGCACCCCCCCTAAAGCACTTTACTAGTAATGTTTCACAGCAAATCTGATAATGACCCTAGGATGTGGGCACTTTTAAGAACATTTTCCAGATGAGGTAAGAAAACATCTCAAAAAGGATTTCACATTCACACAACCTCTACATAACAGAGGCAGGAAACTATAAAGACTATCATTCTACCTCCCGTTGGGTGATTTTTGTACCTTCTAGCATAGTGGCTACTTGATCTGCAGACTCACAAGTGGCGCTCCCATAGCTCCTACTTCAGCATATCGCACAAAGTAGGTGCTGAATCGTATGCTTGACAATTAATTAGTTTTCAAACAGTTGAACTCTTAATGAGATATAGGAGACATTTTCCCCATTTTAAATTGATTCCAGTGTCAGGCTCTGCTATAAGCAAGGGTTATGATTTCTGATTGGTGTTTCAGGATTCTTTGGATGTATTCCTAGAAGTAGGATCACTGGGTCAAATGGCAGTTTCATTTTTAATTTTTTTAGGAAAACCCATACTGTCTTCCATTGTAGCTGCACCAGTCTGCATTCCCGCCAAGAGTGCACCAGGGTTCCCTTTTCTCCACATCTTCACCAGAATTTGTTTGTTGATTTATTGGTGGTAGCCATTCTGGCAGGTGAGGGGTGATATCTCATTGTGGTTTTAATTTGCATTTCTCTGATGATCAGTGACTTTGAGTATCTTTTCATATGTCTTTTGGCCATCTGTATAAAAAAGAAGGATCTCTTACCCTTTGAGTCAACATGGAGGGACCTGAAGAGTATTATGCTAAGCAAAATAAGCTAATCAGAGAGAGACAAATATCACATGATCTCACTCATAAGTGGAATCTAGTGAATAAAATAACTGACAAACAAAATAGATTCAGAGACATGGAAGCATGCAACAGACAGGAATCTCAGAGGGAAGGCGGGAGAGGCTGTGGAGAAGAGATGAACCTAAGAACATGTATGCATATATGCATAACCCATATAGGGGAGAAGAAGGAGGGTAGGTTCAGGAAAAGGGGGCCACTGGGGAAAAAAGGGGAACATCTGTAATACTTTCAAAAATAAAGATAAATATTTAAAAATAAAAGAAAAACACCATCTCAATTAAAAAAAAAAAAGGATTTAATTTTACCCACAGCCTTTTTTTTCCATTCAATGCTATCTCGGCTTTCATTGAGAGCCTAGGCATTCAGAGGGCAAAAGAAAAACTCTCTCTATGCTCTGATACAGACTTTCAGACTGTGTGACTTGGAGAGAGCTAATAGTTTCTCCTCTTGCTGCATAACAAATTGCTACAAATCAGTAGCTTTGAAATTCCATTTTTTATCTCACTGATTCTTTGGTCAAAATTCTGGCCTTGACTTGGCTGGATTCTCTGCTCGGGACCTGACAAAGCTGAGAGAGTGTTGCCAGCACCGTGTTCCTTTCTGGAACCCAGGATCCTCCCTCAAATTCGCATGATTTTTGGCAGCATTGGGTCCCTTGTTTGGGGGGACTGAGGTCCTTATTTTCTCACTGGCTAGTAGTCAGGTGACATCCCCTTCTCTTCCTACCCATCTCCATTGACTTCCATGCGGTCCTTTCCCCAGCATGGCTCTTTGCTCCAAAGCCAAGAGAAGAGTGTTTTCTGCAGCTACAAATCTCACTGACGTCTGTCTCTGACTTGTTGAACCTATTTTAAAAGGCTCGCCTGATATGGTCAGACGAGCATGTGCCAGCAGGAAGCAGGAATCTTGGGAGCCATCTCAGAATTCTGCCTGCCACAGAGAGTATAAGTTCTTATGCTTGACATTAAAATATTTAATTCAAAATTGTTTACTTCTTTTTCCCCACAGCCTGGTGAGAGTCAAAGAGGCCCCAGAGGACCATATCCACCATATCCACAGTTGCCGCCTCCTTTTCCTCCACAACCTTATGACCCAAGATATGGTCCACCACCTCCTCCTCCTCCTCCCCCTTTTGGCCCAGGGAGAATTCCACCACCTCCTCCTTTTGGCCCAGGAAGAATTCCACCACCTCCCCCTTTTGGCCCAGGAAGAATTCCACCACCTCCCCCTTTTGGCCCAGGGAGAATTCCACCACCTCCCCCTTTTGGCCCAGGGAGAATTCCACCACCTCCCCCTTTTGGCCCAGGGAGAATTCCACCACCTCCCCCTTTTGGCCCAGGGAGAATTCCACCACCTCCACCTTATGACCCACGTTATCCATATCCACCTTACCAACCAAATCCATATATACCTGAACCTCTAGTGGACCCTGAATACCCTCCAGTATATCCTCCCTCCTTTACCCCTGCATCCCTAGTACAAGATACTACAACGAGCTCCACTACAACCAAAGGAGACTCCACCACCACCAAAGCAGACTCCACCAGCCCCAAAACTACTGCTTCTACTACCAAAGATGCAACTACTACTACTGCCAAGGGATTTTTTGACAAAATTTGGGGATAAGGATCAGATTTCCTATGGCTCTGAGCTGTTTGGAGAAATGACCTTAGAAAGAAACCAAAACAACCCACACAAACATTAGGCAAACAAAGTGAAAATAAAGAGTTGAGCAATAAATGTGAAATCTTCAGTGTTGTCATGAGAGCCACCCGGTTGTCCCCTGGTATGCCACCCAAATGAAGAGTAATGCTGCCAGAAGCCTAGCCTTGTACTCTGAGGCCAAAGATGTAATTAGGTAAAACAAGTGAGATACCTGAACTTCTAAGGTGACAAAGCTAAAAGAGTAGGCAACAGGATGCCCTCTTGAGTACCACAACCCATCATGCAATTACAAAACATGAAACAACATGTTAGTATGTAATAAAATTAAGCTCTCCCCACAATATGTTCCCTGAAAAATTCCTGAGGACTGCGTGATCATTACTTATAAATTGGCTTTCGTATATCTGTTTAACTCCAGAGCAGAAATGCCTTTCTAGCCAGTCTAAATAGCTAAATGAGCTATGAAGCCCAAGTCTTGGAATTTGATATGAAAAATCATTTTCCAAGCTAAGGAAGAGATAGATAATGGCTTCAGAAATTAATAATAACAGACTGATGGTTGTGATTTCCAAGTTTCCATTGCTTCCATCTATTACTTAATGTTTTAATCAAAAGTATTATACTGTGACTATTTCAGAAACGGCCTCATTCTACCCTGAGAGCTATATTTCTTATACACCTTAAACTCTTGAAGTATAGCACTGAATTTTTCTTTCAGGACACTTAACTGCCTACATTGTCACAAAACACTTATGAATCAAAACTATTCAATGATACCTAAAGTCTAAATTTTTTTGTATGTGCTTGATGTTTTCTTTAATCGCATAGATACTTCTTCAAAATCTACCATGATGCAGGGACTGTTCTGATAGTTGAGCCATCAGCAATTATGAAGGCAATGAAAGTCACTGCCATCATTGAGCTTATATTCTAGTGTGTCAAAAAAGTAGACACATATAAATGCAATTTTAAAAGTGAGAGTGCTTTAAAAAATAATAACAAAGGGTGAGGAGACACAAAATGGTGGTGATTGGCTGTTTTGAGATGATAATCAGGGCGACCCTCAATGAAGTGATACTTAAGCAAATACTTGAAGAGTGTTAAGAAGTAAAATATTCAAAGATCGAGAGAAAGAGTATTCAAGGTAGAAAGGTTCAAGCATGTAATGCTCTGAAGCAGCAGTATATTTAGCATGCAGGGGGACCAAAAGAATGTTAATGTGGCTCACTCTTAGTGAGAAAGGAGAACGGTGAAAGGTGATATGAAAAAGGCAGAGACAGGCCACAACATCAAGGACCTAGGATTTGAATTTTATTCTAAATGTAGGAAAGGTCACTGGAGTTTTAAGTAGGAAAATGACATTATCTGATTAACATTTTCAAAACTTCATCTCTCTGGCATGTCTATGAATACCACACTGTTAGGAGAACAAGAGTAGAGGCTATTGCAAGAATCATTATGAGAGAGGTGGTGGCTTAGACTGGGTGGGATCCATGGAGAAGGGGAGAAGTGGTCAGATATAGAAACAGGTGAAAAATATTTAAAAGTATTTGATGGAGGGTTAAATCTGGTGTTAAAGGAAAAGAAATCATCTGGAAATAATTCTATTTGAAGCCCAAGCAACTGTGTGTATAATGGTGTTATTTAGTGAAATAGGAAAGACCAGTGAAGATTCAGTGTGTAAGGACTAAAAATATCCTAAGTTCTGCATTAGATATGTTAGGTTTGAGATCTCTATTTAACTTCAATATTATTTTTTTAATTTATCTTCACTGTTGAAAATATTACAGATGTCCCCTTTGTTTTTTTCTCATTGATCCCCTCCACTCCACACATGCCCCTCCCAGACCTTCACCACACTATTGTCTATGTCCATGGGTTATGCATATATGCATATAAGTTGCCCAGTTAATCACACCTCACTCACCCCTTCACCCCCACTTTCCCTCTGAAATTTGTCAGTCTGTTCCATGCTTCTATGTCTCTGATTATTACTGCCACTAGAGGCCCGGTGCACAAAATTTGTGCATGGGGGAGGGTCCCTCAGACCGGCCTGCACCCTCTCACAATCTGGGACTGCTAGCTCCTAACCACTCACCTGCCTGCCTGTCTGCCTGATCACCCCTAACCACTCTGCATGCCTGCTTCATTTGCCCTAACCGCTCGCCTGCCTGCCTGCCTGATTGCTCCTAACCCCTCTGCCTGCCTGCCTGATCGCCCCTAACCACCTCTGCCTGCCTGCCTGCATGATCACCCCTAACCGCCTCTGCCTGCCTGCCTGATCGCCCCTAACCCCTCTGCCTGCCTACCTGATTGCCCCTAACCACTCTGCCTGCTTGCCTGATCTCCCCTAACCACCTTTGCCTCACTCAGCCCCTGCCATAGCAGCTTCATCTGGAAGGACGTCTGGAATGATGTCCAGAAGGTCGTTTGGCTGTCTGGTCTAATTAGTATATTATGCTTTTATTATTATAGACTAGAGGCCCAGTGCATGAATTCGTGCACAGATGGGGTTCCTCAGCCTGGCCAGTGATCAGGGCTGATCCAGGCTGTCTCACCCAGTCCTGATCTGGGCTGATCAGGGCTGCCAGCCAGGGGGAGGGACCGCAGGAGGTTGGCTTTGGGAGTGCACTAACCACCAGTGGGCATCTCCTGCATTGAGAGTCTGCCCCCTGGTGGTCAATGTATGTCATGGCAATTGGTCATTCAGTAGACCGGTTGTAATGATTGCTTAGGCTTTTATATATATAGATAATATATTGCCACAAATTTAGCATCTTAATACAAATACATTATCTCACAGTTCTATGAACCAGAAGTCCCCACTCAGCTAGTTCCTCTGCTTCAAGTCTCACAAGGCTGAAATCAAGATATTGGCAGTGCTACACTTTTTTTTTGGAGCTCTAGGGAAGAACATTTCAAGACTCATTCATTTCTTCTACACTCCTGCCCGATTCTTCTTCGGCCATATCTCTCTGACTCCAGATAGAGAAATATGTCTACTTTTAAGAGCTCAGATGATAGAAGATTGAACCCACCAAAATAATCCAGGATAATCCCTCTGTTTATCTATATTTAGTAACATATGGGAATTCCCTTTGCAGAAATAGCTAGATTAATGTTTGATTAGGTAATCATGGGATGAAATTCTTGAGGGGCACATCCTTAGAAATTTTGAAGAGACACAATTTTTAAGTAGAGATACTGAGCAGGCATGATGTATACAAGAGCAGAATAAATGAAAAGACTGAGCTTAACCAGGATCCCAATTTTTCCAGGAAAGAATAACAGAAAAATACATGGGAAAGAGGAGCCACTTTAGGAATTGTAGTTGTACATGAGCTAAACTGTACCACAAGGGCTGGTGAAAGTTTACAAATTGTTTCTTTTATCTGCTTTTACTTTTACTAGTATTTATTTTATGCAGAATTTACTCCTGGGTCATAAATTTTTGTTTCTTCAGTTTCTTCTGGGATATATTTCTGTGCAGCCTCTCTCCTGATTTAGGAACAATCTACTCTTTTTCAGTCAAGATCATCTCCATGTGGCAAGGAGAGCTTGTGATGAGTTAATCCACTCATGAGCTCTGTAAGTTCTGCACTGCATCTTAGCTTTGTTCACCTGGTGAGTGCCTATGGCACTCCACCCATCAAAGTGCACATAAAACTCAGGAATGAGTGAAGAAACTGGAAAACAGAAGCCATCCAGGCCATCCAGGTGTGCTCAATGACAAGAGAATCTACATCTAAATCCTTAAGTTTGGCATTACTCTCTGCATTTTTAAGCACATACAGCAAAACTTCAACACTCTTTTTGGGCCACTAACCTTGTGTCCAGCCCCATTGTTTGATCTGGTCACACCTACCAACAACAAGAATAGCACACATTGCTTCTTTAAAGTGACATCCTTCAGATGCTTGGTGGGTTTTTTGGATTTGCATACCCTTGATGATGGCCTGGGAAGTTTCTCGGGTAGTCTTAGAGTTAACAGAAAGACTTGAACTTCTTGATTTGCATGCTTTTGTGAAGTTTTCTGGGTCAAGTGAATAGTGAACCGTTTTCAGAGGTCGCTTCAGCCACTTACAGGAAGAGTACAAATTGTATAATGGTAACTCGGACTTGGCTGATTATACTTTGACTTTGAAAAATTATCAAGCATGTGAACAAGGATAAAAAGCAATATGTATATATCAAGAAAATGTGGTGTGAGTGAGTGGTGTGGCTTCTTGGTACTTTCATTCATTCTCACATAGACATACCCAGAGTTGGGGCATCTCAACAGACAAAGTAGACTAAAGAGTCCACCAGATCACAAAATGAAAAACTGAACTTTGTACTGTTTTTGGCTGAGAGGGAGGAGCATTAGCACTGAAATTTCCACTGTATTGTCATTTAAGGAATTTCTTGCTGAGCCAGTTCTTTGGCCTATTTTCCATGTTTTATTTCTTAGTGTGGCACCAACTCTAATTAAGGTTTCTGAGCATGGGCATGGTCTATGAGAACATACAAGAAAAACATAGAAGTAGACTATATAATCTCAGCTGGGTGACAACACACAAAAAAAGACAAAGACATAAGAAATGTATTTAATATGATTTATTGCTATTGCTTTAATTGCCAATAATCTTTATGTAAATTCTTATGTGTCAGAAGAGGAAAAACTAAAAATTATATTTTCAAGACACAAAGTATTCTGAATGTGACTGCATTCAAGCCGGTGGGATACACTCACACATCCGCATGAGATTCTGTAGGCAGGAGTTGGGCAGCAGCCATTTTCTTGCTGCCTTGGCTGACTACTGCTTCATGAATGTAGGGCAGCTTTGCACTCTTTGAATCACAAGTATAACCATACACAACCTTAAGGCCAATAGACAGTGGAAGCCCCTTACCTTCCATTCTTTCCAATACTTTGCAATCACGTGGTGTTCTTATGAACGCCCTCTCTACTTGAAAGAATGGTTTCTTTTCTTGAATAGAATCTGGACCAGTACAAAAGAAAAAATAGGAAACAAGAAATAGGTAATAGAGTCAAC